AACACCAAACACCATCCTAGGGGGTCCGGGGGAATGTCCTCTCGAAATGTTTGTGTTCTAGACGCCCGAAAATTACATTTGAGGCGTTCTGGTCTACCATTTTTTTCTTTTTTTTTTACCCCACCTTTCCAAAGGGGGGGGGGGGCTTCTAAATCCTGCCTTGCAGTCACTGAACAACCTAAATTCACCTCTTATTCAACGTCGATAGAAATTCATGATAACCTGGATTAAGCGTACACTAACGTTAAATCGACATTAAAATTAAGTCAAAAAAAATTATTAGTTTATTACCCCCTCCCTCATCACTTTTTGGAACATCGGTAAAATGGGGGCGGGGTTAGCAAAAATAAATTTTAAAAAAGCCTCCCTCCCTCATTAGCTTTTATTCTTTGATAGGGTGATAAACTAATAATTTTTTTATAGGGCCTAAACCGATCGTAATATTACGTTGAATCAATTAATACTCCGACGACGTTTAATCGACGCCGAAATTCGGTTCAACAACGAACTTTTTAGGAGAGGGGTTGCGCTCTATGTTTTTACAGTAAAAATTAATGTCTATACGATGCTACGTGACTGACCATATATCGTGTTTTTTGTATTCGAAATATGGCCACAAGAAAGTATAATACATACTCCAAGTAATGAAATACACGCTATCGTGTTTGGATTAAATATTTCGACATTAATTATGTCATCATCAGGAAATATGGCCACATTACAGTGTGACTGACACGCGATTGTTTGGTTGGATATACCTAGTGAAAATAGCATAATCGGGTAGTACTGTACGTTGTTAAAATTATGAAGCATATGTAAACCTATAGGCCAACATTTTTACAAACTCAAAAGTGCACAATTTCTACCATAAAACGATTTATATCCTTTTGTATGTAATAGTCAGCACTCTGAATTGCGTCGAGTCGCCCAAGCGATAGGAAAGCCCCCTAGAAGGCCTCTCAAAACTCTCTATATTTTTAGTTTGCCTGGAAATTTAAAACAAATCAACCGTGAATTCAGTCATGAATCTATGAATCATTCAAAATGTATGCTTTGTTATAAAAAGTATCTTTCAGGCATACGCTAACTTCATTATATTTTAGATTATTTAATATACACCACTTTCGACTCCGCCTGCATTACATAGCTCTTTGTGATGACGTCATCTTTGGCGACTAATTCGGTTTATTAGTAGCAAATTTATTATACTCAGGCACGT